ACACACACACAAAAATTGTAATAGAAAAGAAACATCTTTATAATTGACATTTGACATGCTGTTTGGCTTAGGCTGTGGTAGACCAAGCACAGATTTCCCTCTGATGGAAACATTTATCATCGTGATTGCTGCAGAGTGGCAGGTGGTGTTATCAATTACTTCTTCTTACCAATAATAATATTAGTATGGTAATATCTTTGCTCATGTGAGAAGGAATTAGCGGTCAGTTGTCGCAGCTTTAAACGGAAGAAATTATGTTGAATTTAACCCCAGGGTCCTCAAACAAAAGTTATGGTAAAAAAAAAAAAAAAAAAAAAAAAAGAGTGGGAAGAGAGACTGCTGCAGCTTGCTAGGAAGAGCAGGAGACGATGGAAAATGAAGTCGAAATAATTGCACGCCCTTTGAATAAAGTTGCTGAGCAAAATAACAATGAAATACAGCAGTCGGATTGCACTGAATGCCACATCCATCTTAACTGCATGTTGGCAATTTTGATGGGCTTAGGAATAACAATCTTGCATAAAGCGTTAAGTGTAGACGGAACTACTTCTACGGTCTTTGTGGAGTCGATCCTGCAGATAAACTTTCTGAAGGCTTACGCGAGGATACAAATTAAAGCAAACCAGTAAGCAGGCATCCCATTCACGTCCATAATAATAATAAAAAAAAAAAAAAAAAAAAAAAAGAACAACGGAGTGCTAAGAAGTATCTAATATTATTAAGCAAGGGGGGGAGAAGAAAAAACGCCATGAAAGGGTGCGAGAAACACCGCAAGAGAAGACGGCAAGTAGCAGAGCGGGTTGAAGTGCGCAGAGCACAGCAGCTGCTGCGTCCCACCGCCGGCACGGCGCTTCGACAGAGCGGGGAGCGGACACGGGTGGGCGGCCCTTCCCTTGCGCGCACCCGGAGCGGCGCGCACAGATTTGCGCGGCTCAGCCTTTCGCCCCCGAATCGGCCGCGTTTCTCGTAGCCCAACTTCAGCCAGAGAGTCGTTTCTTATTCATTTAGATTCAAACCTCGAGTCAGGGAGATGAATTATAAAAGGCCGGTGGAAAATTTTTGCGGTGTAACGGAGAGACGCGGGGAGGGGAGAGGGGTCGGGGGAGGGGGGGGAGGGGGGGGAAGCAGGGGCCGGAGGGACGGGTATCACTTCATAACTTTCCACCCTCCTTCCGAGCGCGCCACTCCTCCGGGCTTTTCCCCGCGGGTCGGAGGAAGTTTCCCTCTCCGCATCGCGCCGCTCCGAGCCGGGCCGCTCCCGGGCGCATCCCCATCGCTCCCCGGGGGGCTGCCGCACCTCGCCCCGCTCCTTTCCCATCTCTCTCCCGGAGCGGGGCGAGAGAAAAGGAAACCGTCAAATGTATCGCTTGAAACCCTAGAATATGGTAATGTCGAGAGATACAAATCTGGTAATTATGCCCTTCTTGACTGTTCTGTTCTCCATTGTTCATTAAGCATTAAAGACAGGATTATTTAATTTTCCACTTAAAGATTCTCTCACGTCCCGCAAGATCATATTAATTTTCGATCATTTTTTTCACAGCAGACAAACTTTTGTTTCCACAACGCAAAGGGTTGCTAGTTGTTTTTTTTTTAATACCGCTCCAGGAAAAGCACGTTTGAAAGGCTCTTCCAGAAATCGTACGAGGCACTGAGCAATGGAAAATGCCCAAATTTAGGGAAAGAAAGAAACAAACAAACAAACAAAAGTGTTGTTTGAACAACAGTAAGAGATCCCTTCAGAAGTGAACTAAGTGAAAATTGACCCAGTTTTGGTACTCAGCGCAATTCGGGAAAAATGCCTGGGAGAGGTTAAAGTGCGTCCTCTTCCATCCCAGGCACACGCTGCAGATGTGGGAGGCGGCGGAGCTCCCTCACCTCGCGCAGATCGGGGAAAATGGACTTCGGAGCCTCAGGAGAAGCCTCAACTCCAGTTCCCTGCCCGCGGCTGCGGTGCCGCAATGCCCGCAGACGTTCGCTTTCACCTGCGCTCTGCCTGCAACATAACGCAGCATATGCACACGGCATAACGTGTTATTCGTGTGCAATAAATCCCTATTTCTGATGGGGGGAGGAGGGGGGGGGTTAAGCTCAATTAATGAGCTCGTCCCCTCCCACTTCATACTAGAAAATCACATTAGATTTCAGCCTTCGCGATCGTCTCTGGATATTTTAGATCAGACGCTCTCAGTACGACCAAACTTTCAGCGAGGATGGATACACGGAGAGAACACGCGTTAGATTTATAGATGGCAAACAAGGCTTTCAAATTATAACGATCAACGAGAGGGGTCTCGTGTACGCATCCCGCTAAACGAAGGACAGAAAAGCACGCCCGTCTGATAGCCAAATGGCACAGATTTGGCGTTTCAGCACTTTTTCTCGTAAGGATCGCGCCCGTTTTTAACGAATATCTGCACCGCAGAAACCACTGGTAGTCTGCACGTCACCGAGCTCCCCGGAGTGGCCTAAACTGCCGCTTCTAACTTTATTTGGTTTGCCCACCAGAAGCAAAGCGGGGGATAAAGCGTGAGCCCGGAGACGCGGTATCGCGACGCCCGAGATAAAGGGAGCTATCAGCAGGGAAAGTTTACACAGAGTCCTCTCCCAAAGCAGGCGGGGTTAGTGTGTTTTAAGGACTAGGGCTGGATTACACGGGCTGCGGCGGGGGTATTAGGAGGAAATCCCTTTCACTCGGCCTCGCCTCGCTCCCCAGCCTCATGCGCAAAGCTGCTCGGCGCTTCTCGCCCCCGCTGCGCGCCCGCGCAAGGGCCGGGGCCAGCACCGCCAGGAGCCAATCTGCAAGGGGCACTTAAAATAATAATAATAAAGAGAGAGAAAGAGAAAAGAAAGAAAGAAAGAAAGAAAAAAAAAAAGGAAAAAAAAAAAAACAAAAAGAAAAAACAAGAGGAGGGGAACAGCTGGCGGAACCTCCCCCGCACGGCCACACGCACACTCAGGCGCGGAGCTGCGCGTTGCGCGGTGGAGATCGGCGACGGTGGGGTACATCCTAGCGGCGGCTCTGTGCCATGGGCGCCCTGCGCTGTCGGGCGAGGCCGCGCCCGGAGCGGCAACTCGTGGCGGCGGCGGCGGCGGCGGCGGCGGGACCGGGCGGGGCGGCGGGCGGGCAGGCGAGTGGGGGGGGGGGGGGGCGGGGGGGGGAGGCGGCCCGGCTCCCGGCAACTTGTAATGCGATAGAGGAGAGAGCGGGAGGGGGAAGAGGGGGATGGCTGTGCTTCTCCCCCCCCCTCGTCCCCCACCCCCTCCCTTCGCACTTTTAGGGGTGAAAAAAAATAAATAAATAAAGTGGGGGCCGAGGAGAAAAGCCGTCGGGAAGGTGCGTGCGGAGAAGGGAGCGGGGAGGCGGCGGGCAGCGGGCTGGGGGCAGCCCCGGCCGCAGCCCCGGCAGCGCGGCTCGGGGGGAGGCGGAGGAGGAGGAGGAGAGTAGGAGGAGCCGCCGTGAGCCCCGCACCGCTCCCAAACTTGAAAGTTTATCTGCCCGAAATCAGGAGCGGCCGCGGGGCGCGCAGAGCGGCTCGGAGCGGAGCGGGCGGGGAGAGGCTGCCGGCAGCGCTGAGAGCGGAGCGGGGCGAGGAGGGGAGGGGGCTGCAGCCCAGCGGTAACGGCGGCACCCGGCCTCAGAGCCGGGAGAGGAGAGATGCTGTGTGCCGGGCGGCGAGGAGCGGCCCATCGGCGCGTCCGCGAGACCGCTGTCATTAGCTAAGAGGACGCGCGAGTGAGCTGGGGAGGGGGTGAGGAGCGTCCCACAAAGTCATTCCGACCTGTGGGAGAGGGACAAAGAAAAAAACTTCCTACCAATGGACAACAGGAAGTGAGCACCACCACCAACGGGGAGCCTCTGCTCGGAGAAAGAAGCTGCAAGACAAAGAAGAAGGAAGGAGAGGTGAAAGACAAAACTGCCCGAGGTCTCCTGTGCGTGCGCTTCCGAGAGGAGAGAACAAAAGTCAGCCGGGAGGGGAGACGGAGAACAGGAGACAGGATGGGAGAGCTACGGAGAAGCACGTGAAAAGCGAAGGGAGAGAAGAGCGGACGACGCACAGGCACACAGAAAAGAAAGAGAAGCGTTCACAAAAGTTTCTTCTCCCGGAAAGAAATTACTCACACGCACACAGACAGCAGATGCCTCGCAGATCAACTTCTGGGGAAAGAGAGACCAGGAGAGACGAGGTGATGTGAAGAAAAAAAAAATCAGGAGAAAAAAAAAAAAAAACATAAAAAAAAAACAACAAAAAAAAAAAAAAACAAAAATAGAATAGAACAGAAAAAAACAGAGCAAAATAAAATGAGAGCCGAGGGAAAAGAAAGACAGAAAGGCGAGGATCGTGACCTCCCCCGAGAAGCGAACCTGGCCCATATGTTGTGCACAGCGCGTGCAGCCCAGAGCCCCGCTGCGCGCTGTTTGCATGCCCCTGCGCCGCGCTCAGTGCCCGTAGCGGGCGACGCTGCTGCGGAGCCGCATCCCCCGGCGGAGCGGAGCGGCTAATTGCGGAGCCTGCCCTTCATTTCCATATGCAGCCCGAGTCCGCTGGAGCCGCGCCAATCCCCGCTCGCCCCCAGCACCATTAATCGCCATGCATTATTCACTAGCCTAATTACGGAGCCCCATGCGCGCTCCGCGCAGCCGCCCCAGCCCGCCGCGCCCGCAGCCCCGCGCCGCTCACAGCCCGCCCGGCTGAGCCCTGCACGCCCGCCCGCTCACTCCGCTTTGGTTGCTTAGCCTTGCTTTTTCTTTTTTTTTTTTTTTTTTTTTTTTTTTTTTTTTTCTTCCTTTTTTCTCCCTCCTCTCCTCCTCGGTGGGGTTGGTCGCCTTTTCTGTTGTTGTTTGTTTGGTTTGTTTTGCAACTCGACTTTTTATTTGCGAACAGTTATTTCCAGCCCCCTCCCCTCGCTCCCAATTCCTCCCCCCCCTCCTCCCCTTTCCACCTCCGCGTCGCTGATGCCTCTGCAAAAAGCAGAGTCAAGACGGCTCAGTTAGCAGCATGTCTCGTCGAAAGCAAGCGAAACCCCAGCATCTCAAATCGGACGAAGAGCTGCAAGCGGAGGTAGTTTCCGAGCACGGTAAGAGCTCCCGGCGCCTCTTTCTCTGTCTCTTTTGTGAGCGCGTTTCGGATGGAGATAGGTGCGTTTACGGTGCTGCTGAGCACGGGAGCGTAATTACTCCGCAGCGGGAGAACGGGAATTCGAGCAGCCGGGGAAAGAGGCGGCGGAACTGAGAAGTTCGCAGTTCAGCCAAGTTTCGGCAGCCCACCCCCTGCCCAAGCGGCCCTCCCCGCGATTCCCCGCCGGCCACCCGAGCGCAGCTCTCACGGCGGGGCTCTCTGCCGGGCCAGGCCCTGCCTCCTTCCCTCTGACCGGGCTCGGGCAGCCGCAAGAGCGGACACCGGGAGCAGCACCGCCTCCTCCACTCCTCCGTGCTTCTCTCCCTGTCTGTATTTTTTTTTTTTTTTTTTTTTTTTGCACCGGTTTTCCATCCCTCCCCACCTCCCCCCCTCCACCCCTCATCTCCCCTGGAGGTTCGGGCCGGAGCCACGCTACCCTAGCCCTCCGACACCAAAGTTGGGGCAGCGGGGGTCCCGCGGGCCGGGGGATGCGATCTTCCCAGGTCTCACCCCCGGGGCGGCCCCGCATCGTTGGCTGCCGAAGGCTCCCTCAACCGGGCGCTGGCTTTGGGGCGGCGTGGTTTGGGGGAGCCCCTTCCGGGCTTCGAACGGAGGCAGCCCAGGGTGAGCAGCGGGGTAGGCTGGGGTATTTCTGAGGAGCCCGAGCGGCTCCTCGCCCCCCCTTTGCTCTGCCTCCCCCCACCGCCTCCCGGCTCTGAGCGGTGGGAGGTGACACGGTGCCACCGCCGCCACCGGCCCCTGTCGCGCCGGCTGCAGGCGCCGAGGAAGGGCCGTTCGCTCGCCCATCCGCCATTCCTCGCTCCCTCCCCACACGCAGACACGCCACACTCGCTTTATGCATCTGGGCGGCCCGCTCTGCTCGTGAACAAGTGTCTAAAGCGGGACGGATTCGGGCTGTAATCGCTCCTAATTTCCACCTCGCCGGACTGTTTGTAGAAAGAGAGCGGCAGTTTGTTGGTTGTTTTTTTTTCTTTCTTTCTTTCTTTCTTTTTTCTTTCTTTCTTTCAATTGAAATAGCCTTAGGCGCTGCAGCGTGCGAAGGCATGCCACAGCCCTTCCTCGCTTACCCCGGGCTAAGTTGAGGGCTTCCACTTGAAAGTTTTTCTTCCCTTCTGTGCACGGTAGCTCCCTACCTTCTCGGCTTCTTGCAAAACTAAGTGGGAGCCCCCGTGTCTTCTGCCTTCCGTGTAGGCCCTATCCTTTATCCGCTTTCCCTCCCTTCAGAATGAAAAGAGAAAGAGTCGTTTTCCTGTTCCAAAGCTAGAAGTTGCTTCTGTAGGTGAGGAAAGGCAACAAAGTTGGAGCCCGAGGAGGATTTAGACTATTGTATCTAAACTTTACTGCCTGGAAGCTTAAGGCAGTGTGGATCCTCTTCATCGGGTTAAAACATCTGTCAGATCGGCAAAGCTGTAAGCCCTCCTCGGGGTGGCCGGGATCCGGGATGTGTCCCACTCTGTCAGGGCAGTTAGGATGGGGTTGCTGCCACTGCTCCGGGAAAACCCACTGGGTATTGACAATAACCCAGAGAAATGCTTCCTTCTGTCACAGCGGAGCAGCACAAGCAGTGCAAACAGGAATAGGGTTTTTAGGAAGCATTGGCAACGCGAAATAAAATAAGTGCAGGCAAGCAGATGAGAATTACGATTTTATTAGGGAAAAATAACAAAAGAAAAGCCAACACAACGATTAGCTGAGCTCAGCCTCTGTTGGGGTGGATTCTATTTGAGAATGTTTCACTAGTACTGCAGACTTTGAAATGCTCCGAACCCACTTCAGTACAGCAAAATAAAACCCCACTACTTCATCAGGACACTCCTGGCGAGTTAATAAATTGGGGGAAAAAAATTGTTAAACTAGGTTTTTGTTTTGTTTTGTGAATCTTATCTATGTCCATGTCACCCGAGATTAGAACAAGAGATATGCTAAAAAGAAACGCTTGCATATGGTGGGTAGATTAAGGACAAAGAATCTTTTTGTCATGGAAATGGTTTTTTTTTTTTTTTTTTTCTCCCCTTTTTTGGGGGGTTTTGTTTTGTTTACTTCATCACATAGAATTTCTCACACTTGGTTTGTTTTGTATTGCCCTCAATGACTACATGATCAAATGAATGGATTTATTTCTGCCGAATGAGAAAGACAGTCTTTCCATCAAAAGGACTACATTGCATCCCAGTGAGGAATTTTAAAGCGTTATTATTGTGGTCCCTGAATAGCACAAAATCGGCTTTCACAGCAGCCCTAAAATGCAACAATGTAAATACTTTTCAGCCTTAGGAGGCTGTTATCAAATTGTGCTACGTTCCCTTTTATTAAAACATATTTTAATTAGTAGAGTGAAACCCTTCGTAGTTAACGATTAACAAGCTGAAGTAGAGCTGTTGGTTTTTCACTTTCATTTGAGATCTGTGAGCAAGGTGGACTCAGCACACACGAGCAGAGGGCTATCTAGTGCACATTAATGCAGTGTAAATCATTTACGTGCTGCATTAGGAAGCCTAACGATTGCCATACCGAAAGCAATTTCATAGGCCAGATATAACGAGTGCTCCCAATCTCACAAATTAAAACACTTCTCGTCCAGTCAGTATTTTTCATTTCTCTTCGCAGCTGTAATCAAGGTATTGCTGCAGTGCTACAGAGCGTATTTTGCAACGAGCCAAAACCAGTTCCCACAGCACGGGGATGTCTGTGGGTTTGTTTAAAAGCAAAGTGCCTGAGCAGCATTATTTGATACATGCAGCCTTTTCATTAATTTGGCTGTTATCTTCAATGGGAGAGGGGGGGGGTGGGCGGGGGAGGGGGAAGTTGTTGTTAACACAAGACGAAGCAAATTGGGCTTATTACTTATTTAATAAAATCATGTTTAATACGACCTCGACGTAGACTTTAAGTGAGGCATTTCAACGTGAACGCTCCCTAAAGGCAATCCCTTAGAGAGAAGGGACGTTCCTACAAGCAGAAAGAAACCTGGGGAGCAGAATGGGCAGACTGACATTAGGCCGTGCTGCAAGTTGTCTGCACCCACCACAACTTCCCTGCTAACATTACCACGGGAGTTTAAGGACCATAATAAAGAATTTTATAGTGAGCCTGGACTGCGGCGTAAGAGAACTGCGTGCAACCAGGGCAATGCATAATGGTGAGAAATGGTTTGAAATCTGAAGGTAGTCGGAAACGCCATCAACTACAAATTTACACTCGGGATTTTATTGTTGGAAGGGAGGTTCTAAAATACATTTTTAAAACTATTTTGAGGGGGAGCCTTTGCAGACACCTAGTGATGACATATTACTTCGATACTTAAGCTGCAGAAGAGCGAATGAATGGCATCTGTTAAAGATACACTTTCAGGTTGCTAAATTAGAAGATAGGATGGAAATAATTTAAAAATAGCAGCAGAAGGTTTCGAGTGGCTGCCCGTTGTATACAATAATCTTGGTTTCTCAGTAAATGTAAAGCTGTTCTCAGTAAACTGTACCAGCTGGAATTACATTTCTAATACGCTTTCCTAATTCAACAGATTAAAATTGAATCAGAATTATAGATACAGTGCAGAAGTAGGTACAGCATTTGTATTTTAACATGGGTACAAGAAAAGGGGATTTTACATGCTGAGAAGCACTTCTTACAGTGCACAAGTGAGTAGGGATGACAACAAATGATGCTTTGGACTTCCTCATGCGAAGTTACTGCCAAAGATAGGTGAATGGGATACCGTACAGTCAACTGTGCAATGACAGTTTTCTCTCCTGCTTTTTGCAATTGTTTTTTAAGAGCTGAGCCTGCCTGTTGTGGTGGCGTGTTGCTTTTTTCTTTTTTTCTCCCCCCTGCTCCTCAATACAAACAGTGTTGTGTAAACCAATGGCTCTCTTATCACACTGCTTAAGTGGAATTGGAAGGTGCAGCTCTGAGTAGCTGGTAACTGCACTCAGTGTTGCTTTGGAATACGTTCACAGACACGCATGCTCCGCTGTGGAAACTGCATCATCCTGTACGGAGCAGCCAGCTTCGTGTGAGTGTGTTCACTGTATCTGCAAATATATTTTGAAAGGACGTTCCTACGTGCAAGAATATTGAATTGAAAGATATTGAAAGAATATCGTTGCGTGTCGTTCAGGCACTGCTGCCTTGAAAACTTGAGGAGTCACAAGCAGCCGTCTCAGGAAACTTGGGTGATTCTTGCAAATGTCTGTTCTGAGGCTACTGGAAGGAAGATTTAGTTTGTTTGATTTAAAAACAAAGGGGCCGAATGAGTATTGCTATAAACGGCCTCTTTGATACGAAAAGAGAACTGAAACTTCTTTGCATAAATAATTCGGGTATTATGACAGAGATGGCATTAAAACCAGGTAACATTTGTATTTATATCATTTTTAAAGTATTCCAAGTGCTTTGATCGATGTTATCAATAGGAAAATACTTGGAATAACAAGCAAGCTACAACAATTAACCAATTTGCTGGTGTGTGTAGAAATGCTGCAAGTAGACCAAAGTGGGTCAGATTTTATCTGGCGCTGCTGATCTTGAGGAATTCTTACCATCTCCCGAGGTAGATATTAGGGCTCCCTTTCTTGGAGTGGGAGGAAGGAAATTTTGAAAGGTATTGGTTTAGGATCTGTGTAATTAAGCTATTAATATGCATACATTTTAGCTGCTGATAATTACTTGTCCTTGCCTAAGGAAGAGGAAAAACTACAATTTTCAGAGTGAAAATACACAAATTAATAAAGAGAATTAGTGCCATTTCTGAAAAATACTTGGGTTCCTAGGAAGATTTTCTTTGCATTTTTCCTTTATTTGATTAGTTGACTGCCCAGCCTGGACAAGCCTATCTGTTGAGTATCCATCAGTCAGGACACGAGTCAGTCACTTTTGCTGATAATAATCCAGGTCTGGCAGGAAATTAAAGTAGCTGAGTACTGACACTTTTTAGAAAAT